CCAAGGCTCGTTAACCCTTGCAACACTCCAGCTTCTTATTCAAAATGGCAAAATATGCAGCGGTGCCCACTTTGCCAGCCTATTCCGTGCCCAAAACAGCATTGGGCCAGGCAAAATACTATTGTAATTTGTGTTAGAGTTATGATTTATTATTAATACCCTGATATTTGAATGATCCGACTTGGTTTAATGGTTTAAATACAACATGTTCTGAATAAGAAGCTGGGACACGAATAAGAAGTGAATAAGAAGCTGGATCTCGAATAAGAAGTGAATAAGAAGCTGGCGGAATAAGAAGCTAACTTCAGCCTCGTGTATATTGGTAGGATGGTATCCACAATTTGCCAGTGGTTTGGAGAAGCTCCCATGCAAAACTCCAGTTGATTTATAAGACTATGTATTGGATTTGTGTTTTTGTGCCATGGTAGTAGCATGCAGAAAGGGATCCGTGAGTTTTGTGGCCCATTACGTGGGCAACAATGGGATCTACGATTTGGTGGTGATTTTTACTGATTTTTATATAGAGGATTCCCCCCCCCCATCAATCAGGAAGATCTATTTTTATTTAATAGATCCAGCTTCTACTTTCTTCCATACAAGCAAAACAATCACCGCACTACCTCACACAAAAAATGGAGATAAACAAAAAAAATGAAGAGCGAGAGTTCACAGCACGCCTGCGCTAAAGTTACCCCGCATTTCCTTCGACTACTGTACTGAAAAGCGCATACGCCCAAGCGCTGCTTTTCCGGCTCTTGGCATCCCACCGGTAACACACGGTAAATATTCATCAAGCTGGAATCGCAAACTAGCTACAGCGCATGCGCATTGACTTGTTTACACTATCGGCTAACCGGGCGCGCGACACAGCTAGTTAAGAGGGTGCATTGCGCACGAGCGTATTGTTTTTGCGGAACGCCCGCAGCTCGCTTACGTCCGCTGTCTTCCTAGCAAGCGCATGCGCACTTTTAAGACTACGTGCCCTTGTTTCACGCATGCCCATTGAGGAAATTGGCTTTTAAAAACTACGGAACTTTTGCAGTTTGCATTGTTCCCGACTGTGCAAGACTGAAATGATTATCGATGTCTGCTGGAGTCTTTAGGAATGGCCGGGAGCCAAATGAAAGTGCAGTTGAACTGGATACAGCGATAAAGCGTCATTTGGTTGTAATCGTTTTCCTGTTGCTAATCTGTCAGCCATTTTCTCTGCCTCCTTGTTATCCAGATTTGCTGCGTAATCTCACTTGCTGCCGATTGGACGTGCGCTAAAATCCCATTCCCGTTTATTCAGAAGTAAGTCACCATAGCTTAAAAAAGAATTACACTGATTTATGAGTCGAGCCCCCTAAATGAAAGGTTATTTAGTGCCGAGATTGAAACAACTGTATTTTTGGTAACTGAAAGTTTTATCGGTGTTTATATACCATACGTTTTGGACTGCAGCACACATCATTTTACGAAATGTAACGCTTTTACAGCTAACATAGCTGCTTTTTTGGAAATTGCAACACATTTAATAAAGCAAAAGCCACGGTGTAAGAAATGGGCCTAACTTCAGTTAGAAACAACGTGGAGCCACTAGGCCTGTTTTTAAAACAGTCGAGAAGCAAAGAGCTATGCACACGTCATGGGAGGGCGTTTGGAATTACCTGAATTCAGACCATTTAATTTACAAATGTGATTCTGGAACGTTCCCAAACCTGATAAGCTGTTTAATAAAACACCCTTGAACTGGAACTGAGGGGAGATTATGACTGTGTTTTCAAAGAACTACAACAAAAAACCCACCATTACAACAAAGGTAAAAAGCCCAAGCTTTCTGCTTAAGACACTAAAAACGCTGGTAGCACGACGGAGAGCTACAATTTCCACTGATTACGTTTCTTGTACAAACACTCGATCATGAGTGATCACGTCAAGGTCATTTAACTTTCTGTCTGCTTATTAATATGAAAACGTTTAGCCGAAAATTTGTGAAACTTAAGTCTTGTAAAATTTAACAAATATTTTTGAAAATTTCTGGTATAAAGGGAGACTGAGTAATACCAAGTGAGTGAGGGGCAATGGGTGAGAATGAAGGTATAGTGTTAGCTATTTTAGCCGAATTGAGATGAAGCTTGGCGGCCATTTTGTGAGAACAGATAGTGTGTCTCCATAGAAAACTAACGGGAGGGGAAGGAGACAACCGTTACTCGCGCGTGCCCGCTGTGGCACCGGCCAATCAACTTTCTTGTTCAAAAGGAACAGCTTCACGGTCACAGCGCTGGTCACGTCGCCCAATCGGCAAGCACGACACACGGAGCCCTTTCTCCGATTCCGCGCACGCAGGGAACGAGAACAGCAGCCCCACCCAATCACTACCTGCCGCCTTCTCCATACCCCCTCTTTTTTCCCCCTCCCGCCCAGAAAGGCTGTGGCGCCGAGGAGGGGGCGCGCGCGCGCGCGCGCGCAGAAAGGGGCCAATCAGCTTGCGCGCCGAGGTTTCCTCGCGCCGCTACCTCCTCGCTCTATTCCC